TACTGATTGTCTTTACATCTTGGAACTAGGTTGTGACTTTGTAAGAGATCGAGACTCTATGGACATGAGAATTATTGGAGGATACTGCTTGCCAGGTAAGCTTTCGATCCTTAGGGTTAATCCCTCGTTTGTTCCACCAGATTCCGAGGGAGGATGGTAGTTTTATATGGTATGTGGGTATGAACTGTTATATGTTGCAAGTATATGTATGTATGTTTGTGTGCCACACAAGATGGTTTTTCCTTGTGTGAGGCATAAGACCGTGTTTCCTCATACGGTATGTTGTAAGGCAAAGTTTCCTTGTGTAATGCATACTTGTTATATTCTCTGACCAGTAGGATTTACTATTTGTACATTGCATTATCATACATATTTTGATGCATACATATATTTTATACAGTTATTATACTAGAAGTGAGCTTAGGGGCGGAAGATCCCCCCAAGGGTCCCTAGCTTACCGAGGTAATTATATTATCTCACCCCGCGTTATGGGGATCACCATTTCAGGTACAAGAGCTGATAGTGCTGAGGCATCGCGTGACAAGAGGCCAGATGAGAGATACTACTTGACATGATTGTCAGGGTCTTGTGGATATTTAGATTTATACTTACATACTTTATTTTGAGTTGTATATGCCATGTATTTTTTGAGAGCATAGGAGATGTCTATGCCATGTCGATAATATGTATATGTTGTTAGTGATGCATGCTCAGGTTTATGTAACTTATTTAATTGCATCTCTTTTGTTTATTTGATGTAATTATATAAGTAACATCATGAACATTATTTTGAGACAATATGATTATGAGATAGCCTAGGCCATGGATGGCTAGGCAATATGTTTTTTCTATGTTGTGTTATGCCTGGATTATATTAAATAATCAATCAGGTTGAAATTTTCTTGGTGGGAATTATCCCCAGTGGTCCAAAATACAGATGAAATGTTGTCTGTTTTATTTTGGCCATGGAAGTGAAAAAATTTGCAACACATAATTAAAAAGAGAAAACTTATTCAGTTAGCTTCTACATTAAATTAAGTTGAGCATGTTGCGTTTACTATCATAGGAATGTTAATTAACCGGCTGCAGATGGGGCGTTACATTTTATGGTATCATAGCAGTTTTGAAAAAGGAATTCCTTAATGTATTGCAATAACGGTGTTGTTTATGAGTGGCTTTTTGGTTTTACTATGAGAATACATGTGTAACCACTTAGTGTGGGCCTGGTCAACTCATTCCTTTGTCTAACATGTGCAGAGTCATGGTTCCTCCTAGAATACCTCTGGAAACAGCTGAAAATCAGACAGATCCTACCTTAGTTGCTTTGGTGAGACTCTGGAATAATGAAGGGGCAACATCAGGACAGCCTGATCCTAAGTTGTTGCTTTGGCTGGAGTGCAGCAGTAGTTGGCTAATAGTAGGCAGACTAATGAAACACTTATGAAAACTAATTAAGATATTATTGCCGCCAATCAGCTGTTGATGAACCAAATGATGGCTGAGTTTAGAGCCATGAGACATGGTAGAGCGGGGAATCAGCCCCCACCGCCACCACCTCCTCCACCACATACTCCCATTCCATCTCCGCATAATCTCCATATAGAGAACGAGGATGGAGAGGGTGCGACTAGTCATCATGGTGGTGCTACTACTCATACAAGGCAGCGATCAGTTCATACTTTGGCAATAAATAATGTTGAGGCAAGAGAGAGAATGTTAAATGCCTTTAGGATGCACCAACCTTCTACTTTTGAGGGTGGTTATGATCCTGTTGTCGATACTACTTGGCTGCAGGATTTAGAGAGGATTTTCAGGGTGATAGAATGCCAGGATCATCAAAAACTATTATATGCCACTTATATGCTGAATGGCGATGCTAGAGATTGGTGGATGAATACTTCTCATCCACTAGAGTTGTAGGGATTTTCCATCACATGGCCTCTGTTTGAGACATAATTTCTTGATAAGTGCTTTCTCTGAGATGCTAGGGAAATAAAGGAAGGTGAATATAATGATCTTGTGCAGGGTGAGATGTTCGTTGATGAATATCTGGCAAAATTTAATGAGTTGGCTAAGTATGCTCACCTCAGGAGAGCTATGCCAGATTCAGAATCTTTAGCTGCAAAATTTCAGAGAGGATTAAATCATAGAATTGCAGAAAGTCTAACAGGTTGTGGTTCCAGAGATTTTCCCACTTTAATTAATCAATGCAGGACTATTGAGGATATCCATTGGAGGCAAAAGAATAGAAATTCTAAAGAGTCTGACTCCAAAAAATCTAGTGGTTCTAATTATTATAAAGGATAAGAAGTCTGAAGATAATAATAAGAACTTGTAGGTGAAGCAACCAGGTAGTAAATTCAAGAAAACTGGTTCTTCAGGGAGACCATCAATTCCAAAGTGTACTGGTTGCAATTAGGAGCATATAGGGTCGTGTGTTACCAGCCAAGTTATTTGTTATAAATGTGGTAAGACTGCCCACTATTCCAGAGATTATCCTCAGAAGAGTGTTTATCATAAGTTTGTTTATTTTTTATCATATACATTTTACTGAAACACCCTTCATTAATTCACCTAAAATTACAGAAACACCCTTCATTAATCAAAATGATGTAGTTTTTGAGGTAGCTGTAGATAACTTTATCTAAAGTGGTTGTAGAAATATTTTTTTCCATATATATATATGGGGGCAGGTTCTTTTTACACTAGTGTAGTAGTGTAAGACTAATAAGTCTTACACCAAATCTCAACCGTTGATGGACAAAAATTATCGGTTGATATTTGTAGTGTAATTAATGATTAATTAATATTAATTAGTTCATATGATTTTCTAAATTATAACCGTGGGATGCACGAAAATCAACGATTGAGATGTGATGTAAGACTAATAAGTCTTACACCGGTGTAAAATGATCCTGATCTTATATAGGGCAGGATATTCTTACAATAGTGTAAGAGTTAGAAGTTTTACACTCAATCTTGATCATTGATCTACTTGTATCCAATGACTCATGTTACTAAAAAATCAGAGCCCTTAGATATAATTTGGATCAACGGTCAAGATTAAGAGTGTAACTTACACTGATGTAAAACGATCCACACCCAATACATATATATGGGTTTCTCTTTTCTCATGTCACATGAGATAACATCTCTCATGTTATAAACACAACAAGTGATAGGTCCCACCACTTGTTAAAATAATAATAAAAAAAAAAAGATAGCACGGATTTCGATGCCTCACAACATGAGAAAACAATCTCCAATAACATGAGAAAATGATTTCCCTATATATATATATATATATATATATATATATATGAGATACGATCCTTTGACACCAATGTCAAATTTGAAATTTGACACCTCATCTGAGAGCACTTAGATAAAAAAAGATCAACGACTCTGATTTGTAAGCATGTGACACCATTGATCTTTTTTGATCTAATGGCTCTAAGATGAGATGTCAAATTTCAAATTTGACATTGGTGTCAAAGGATCCTACCTTTCTATATATATATATATATATATATATATATATATATATAGCTTTATTAATCTCATGTTACATGAGATACCTTTTTTCCTACTATAGATACAACAATGTGAAGAGACTCACTCTTATAAAAAAAGGCGCAATACGGAAATTGATGAATCTGTGAAAAAGAGAATTTCAGAAAGTAAAATGACAAATGCCTTATGGAAGCTTAGTTATAGAAGAAAATGACGAATTCAAAACGTGCAGGTACTTCAGGTTTGTGATGACAGATGATTTAGTCATAAATTCAGCTTCCCGTTACTACAACTACGAAGGATGAATCCCAACTTTGAGAAATTAGAGAGACAAAGAATGAGTCATTCCCACTATTGAAATCGCTACAAGACATATCCAACCTTTCTATCGAGCAACCAAAACTAACCTAGAAACCCAAGTGATTGAACTAAATCATTTTCTTATTGCACAGGTGGACAAACCTCCACTTGTTTATTCAAGGAGGAAGACAGCTCGAATGGTATCAGAATTCTACATAATTTTGAAGCAAATTCAGGAATCTAAACAAGCTATAGAGCTCAAAACAATTCACCCGAGTAACAAGTTATAGGATGTTTGGTACGAGAAATTTTTTTGTTATTGGGAAAAATAGATTGTTAGGAATAAGTTACGAAAAAGTGTTTGGTTGGTAAAAAAATCTGAGAAAGTTGGGTTAATTTTACTGATGCTATGTTTGGTTGATGATAAAATATTGATAGGAATATGAAGTGAAATTAAAAAAATACCCATTATATTTGAATATTGTGCAAGTCAGTTATTCATCATACTTGAATTTTGGTCTCATATAATAAAATCACGACAACTGAGATATGCGATGAAAATCGATACCAATATTTGATCAGTAATACTGAGTTCAAATATAGTGATATGCTTAGTAATAACAACTACATCGTTTCATATCATAGCAAAACCGATAAGGGCTCAGATTATTGGAACCCACCGAAGAATTCAGCAGTCCAACTAACAACTGCGATAAATGCCTCTGCAAGGATCAGAATCCTAGATAATGGGATGAAAAAAATACCATGGTCTTGGGGGGAAACTTTTTTAACTATTTGTAGTTAAAAAGGAAAATAAATCCGCCCATGTGTGCATGCATGCATGGTTTGTCCCAAGCCAGGATAAAAGAGGAGGGTTGGCGTCAGGTGTAGCGAACCGGCCATAAAAAACAGCTATATTTTTATGTGATGAATCCATATGATTTTTCCTTGGGGAGTACCCTTCATAGCAACGCGTTGCATCGGGCCCCTGGTGTAGCGAAAAATGGGCTAGGGCCCTTGCCGCAAGGCAAGGTGCTGCATCGAGCCCCGAGTATAGTGAAAAATGTGCTAGGGTCCTTGCCCCAAGGCAAGGCGCCAGGTCTTCACCGGATTTGGCGAGAAGTATGTCAGGGTCCCAACACACAGATGGGCGAGCGTGGCGGGAAAGTACAACCCAGAGGTTAAGGATGCGATTGGGAAGCTGGAACATAGGAACATTAACGAGTAAATTGAGGGAGTTAGCAGATGTTTTTGCTAGAAAGAAAGTGAATATTGTTTGTTTGCAGGAAACTAAGTGGGTTGGAGAAAAGGCCAAGGAAGTGGATGGAACTGGTTTAAAGTTATGGTACACAGGTATTAACAAGAGTCGAAATGGTGTTGGAATTATGATCGATAAAAGTTTCAGAGATAAAGTTGTGGACGTCAAAAGGAAATGCGACATGATTATTCTGGTTAAGCTTGTAGTGGGCGATTTAATCCTGAATATCCTCAGTGTGTATGCACCCCAAGTTGGATTACAACCAATTGATAAAAGCCAATTTTGGGAAGACTTGGAGGAGGTTTTGAGGGGAATACCTCGAGAGGAGAAGATTTTCTTAGGATGAGATCTAAATGGTTATATTGGTAAAAGCAATGGAGGTTTTGATAGAATTCATGGAGGTTTTGGCTATGGGATGAGAAACGAGACTGGTGAAGATATCTTGAATGTTGCACTAGCCTATGATTTGATGCTAGCGAACACCTTTTTTCGAAAAAGGGAGTCACATCTAATCACATATCATAGTGGCCAAAATCGTAGTTAGATCGATTTCTTTATGGCTAGAAGAGAAGATAGAACTTCTTGTGTCGATTGTAAGGTCTACCCTGGAGAGTGTGTCGCTACGCAACATAAGCTGGTAGTCCTGGAGGTTCGGTTCAACAAAGTACTTGCAATGAAGAAGAGGGCTCAGAAGCCAGGATAAGATGGTGGAAGCTTAAGGAGGGAAAAGAAAGAGAGTTCAATGAAAGAATGTTGCACGAAGGACCTTGGGAGTTTGATGGAGGAGAAAACGGAATATAGGAAGAGATGACTAAGTGTATTCAAAATATGGGAAGGAGGGTGTTGGGAGAAAGCAAAGGAAATGAATTTCATACAAAGGAAACATGGTGGTGGAATGGAGAGGTGCAAGAGGCAATTAAACATACGAAGGAATGCTTTAGATCTTTGCATAAAAGTCCCAGTGAAGAGAACTTGCAAAAGTTTAGATTGACGAGAAAAAATGCAAAGAAAGCAGTGCGAGAAGCTAGAGGCAAGGTTTTCGCTGATTTGTATAAAAATATTGGGAGAAAGGATGGTGAAAAAGCTATAAATAAACTTGCAAAAATAAGGGATAAGAAAAGTAAAAACCTCACCCAAGTTAGATGCATCAAGGATGAAAATAAAAAAAAATTGGTGAGAGATAAAGATGTAAATGAAAGATGGATGAACTACTTCAACAAGCTGTTTAATGGGGATGGCGATATAAGTGAGGTGGACTTGGAGGACGCTTATGATGATTTGAATAGAAGATTTATGCGCATAATTAATACACATGAAGTTAAGGAGGCTTTAAAGAGGATGAAGACTAATAAAGCCTTGGGACCTGATGGTGTCCCTATTGAAGTGTGGAGAGGCCTGGGGGATGTGGCAATAAAATGGTTGACCAATCTTTTCAATAAGATTCTCTAGAAAAATAAGATGCCTGATGCATGGAGGAAAAGTATGATTGTGCCTATCTACAAAGACAAGGGAGATATACATAAGTGTTCTAACTATAGAGGCATTAAGCTAATGAGCCATACTATGAAGTTGCAGGAGAGGGTTATTGAGCATCTCTTGAGGAAAGATACCAAGGTTTCTGTAAATCAATTCGGATTTATGCCAGGAAGATTGTTGTGTAAAATCGGTAAGTGCACCGATCGTACCAAGTAATAAAATGATGAGTAGAGTATCGTCTCCACGAGGATTGAGGCACCGAAGTTATTACAACTATTCCTCTCTTGTTGGATTAATAAAAATGATTTAAGGACAATTATGATTTGTGAAATAATGAGAACAATTCAAGAAAATGTAAATGATTCAAGGTTCTTTTAAAATTAAAGAACAACGAAATAAAGGTTGAGAAAATATTGCGGTAAAAAGAAACAAACACCTTTACGATCCTCACCTTGCAACTTGGATTACATTTACGTTTACTTATTCAATTGATCAAACGATTCATCATCTTTTATATGATTAGTTAAGCCCTAATCCCTTAGTGACTTTAACTTTATTAACTCTATCAGAATCCTAATCCCTTAGAAATCCCTTTTCAAGTTAACCTTTAGAATCAATGAATCTTTAACGTTTGCGGTTCATGTAGCTTATCGCTAGTGCATACATGAACAATTATCTTACCCTTTGTCAGGAATTAGAATTCCAATATCCCTATTGAAAACCCTAACCCTCGCAATCCTAATAGATTGATCAGTTCCAAAAGAATTATGTAATGAAGAACAAGGCAAGATAAATTCAATTTAAATAAATAAACATAAACTTCAACCAAACTACAAGGGGTTCACATCAAGGGTTGTGACCCTTACCACAATAATAGAACTAGCCAGAGATATTCATATCTGACAAAATAATCATAAAAGAAAATAAAATTAAGAACCTAAAGAAGAGAAAAAGATGAAGATCTTCCGTCTTGATCTTTGAAACTCCAAGAAGCTCCCAAGAATTCTCCACTCTCTTTGTTGTTCTTCTCTTCCTTGTTGTCAAAAAGTTCTTCCTTCCCCTGTTTCTGATCCTTTCATTAGGTTTTGGGAAAACCTTCTTTCAATTGCTCTCCAATTGGGCCTCCTTTTTGAGTAATTCGCATCAGATTAGTGTTAAAAAGTATCGCCCACGCACTTTGTGCCAGGTCTGGCGCACCGTGCTTGAGAAAACAGAAGGAGAACTGTGAAATGGCGCACCGAGGTTCCGCGCATCGTGCGCCAGGCGGTGCACTGGGATACAGGGCTGAGTCTCATAAAATAGCGCACCGTGCGCCAGGTCCCGCGCTCCGTGCGCCATGACCGCGCACCGTGCGCCGCCTCCGGAGCATCGTGCGCCAAATGGAAAATTTGGATTTCTCTCTTTTGCTCCCTTTTGTGGTGTTTCTTCTATTAAAACACATAACTTGAGTGAGAGAATGATTGAGAAGGAATAATCAATATTTCTTGCATTTATGGCTTATTTTCACACATTTATGATTAATTCCTTGCTTCTTTTAAGTTGGAAAGCATCATATGCTAGACGCACATCAACGATGTACCATGTAATCCATTTCTTGATGCGACAACTAATGTAAAGATATCGAGAAAAGAAGAAGGACTTACATATGGTGTTCATAGATTTTGAGAAAGCATACGATAGGGTTCCAAGGAAAGTGTTATGGTGGGTTATGGAGAAGAAAAGGTACCATCAAAGTATGTAAAGGCAATCAAGGATATGTATGATGGGGTTACTACATGTGTGAAAGCTTGTAACGAAACATCAAGTTATTTCCCTATCACGGTAGGTGTACACCAAGGGTCGGCTCTAAGTCCTTATCTCTTTGCCTTAGTTATGGATGAACTAACAAAAGATATTCAAGAGGAAGTGCCATGGTGTATGCTTTTTGCAGACGATATTTTTGCTTATTGATGAGAGCAAAAATGGTGTTAATAGAAAACTTGAATTGTGGAGAAGCACATTGGAATCTAAAGGATTCACATTAAATCAGAGCAAGACTGAGTATCTGAAGTGTGAGTTTTCTCTGGTAAGAGATGTAGACCAAGATTCCGTGCATCTAAGTGGTCAAGAGGTACCCAAGAAAGATGTTTTAAATACTTGGGCTCCATTTTGCAAAAAGGTAGAGAGATTGATGAAGATGTAAATCATAGAATCAGAGCAGGGTGGATGAAATGACGTAGTGCATCTGGGTTTTTGTGTGACCGCAAAATTCCCCTTAAGTTAAAAGGAAAATTCTATAGAACAACAATATTACTATTCTATTTATTTTTATTTTTATGTTTCTTTTTTCAATTTTTTTGTATCTTTCATTTGAGTTCATCTACCATCGACCCCAATTAATTTAAAATAAATGTGTCGTTGATGTTGATAATGTTGTAGTTGGAAAGGAAAATAATGGGCAAAAAAATTTGCTAAGATTTTCATCACTTTTCTCGTACCAAATATGGTAAATAAATTTTTCCCACCGAACTTTCCATACTAAAATATTGATACCAAACACGTGTTTTAAGAGAATTTGTCATAGGGATACTAAGCCTTAACCACTTCTCTTTGACAACATTTATATACAAGGGACACACAACAGACATCTTAGACAACTAAAATGGACTGTTATAATCAGTGTTTTAAAACTCGGTCGAGGTACTGGGTCACTGGGTCACTGGTTCAACCGGATACACTGTTCACATATTAAAAAAATATAAATTTATTTGTATTAAAAAATATATATATAAATTTATTACTTATATTAAAAATTCTTAAAAGAAATTTATCAATAATGGGCTTTAAAAAAAGGGGAAGGGGAGGAAGCAAGTAAAAAGTTGCAATATGTCCAAACACTACAGTAAATCAAACACAAAAATAAAAGATGCAAAACATAAAATCCAAATCTGGTCTGAACTACACGAAAATATAAAACCAAAAGCTGGGCATGAGTATAACATAAAGTCATAAACAAACATAAAGTCATAAACAAACACAAAGGCCCTTGTAGTCCTTCAGAATCTGATGAAACTTATAAGCCAATAATACACAATCTAATAAAAATACTATGCCCATGGTGGTAAAGTTGTATCAATAAATTCAGGTTCTCTTAGATCTTCTCCACCAATCTCATCCAAACATTGACCAACATTGCTTTCATTGTGGTTTGCAATAGCCATGCCTTGTGCATCATCATCGTCATCTTCATCTAAATTCAATTGATCTACAATAACATCACATCTTATGTAAGTTAGTAATTAATATGCAATTATCACATCATAAAATTAAACAATAGACTTATATTAATAAATTGTATAAAGAAACATACCAATATCATATATAATTGGTTGAATGACATTTTTGCTTATTTTTCACGTAAAGATCTTGCCTCCTCGTCTGTTAATAATGGTGGTGACTCCTCAAAAATCCAATTGTAATGATCCTCCATTGTTTCAAAATTAATTGGGTCATAATTTTGGTGCTTCAATTGATTCCTATTTTTTTCCAATATTCAACATGAGCAAATACATACAAATATTTGTCCAAAAGAAAGTAAACAATCAATTTTGCATAATATTTATACCTTTGTTGGAGTTTTAAGTTGTACCGAACATAGACAAGATCATTCAACCTTTTATGTTCTAACCGATTTGTCCTATTTGAATGAATATGCTTAAATGCACTCCAATTTCGCTCACAACCAGAGGCACTACAAGTTTGACTTAAGACACGAATAGCCAATTTTCTCAAGTTTGGTGCACCCAAGCCATATGTTTCCCACCATTTATCTGAAATATTGTAAGCAATAAAATAAATTAACATTCATACTAATTTTGTTCAACTGTAATAAGAATTAAAGGTAAAGCTCACGAATTATTTTACCTGGCATAGCTTTATTTCGTTCCCGAATAGCTGCTTGCCTTCCAAAATCAAACTCAGATTCTCTGAATATTCTCATCTCAGCTGTTAAATTGGATAGCAAATCCACATCCTGATATGCATGCCTCTCAATAACATCTAAAAGACCAGACGTTGTCAATTCGTGTTTTTGAAACTCCTCAGAATTGAAATGACATCCTGGATTTAACCAATATCCTGCAGCATGCAAATATTTACGAAGTTGTGAATCCCATCGGCTATCTAGGATTCTCAAGTATGGCTCCACCATTCTCTTTTTTCTTTGAAACCTTTTGATCATCTCCTCTCTTGCTTTATAAAAGGCCTGATAAAGATAACCCATGGAAGGCTTCTCTTCGCTATCAACAAGACGTAACAGTCGCACAAGTGGCTCAGTAACTTTCACAATGTCAACACACTCTTTCCAAAATCTAGAATCTAAGACTTGCTCCACAAATCTTTTAGCCTTGATATCCTTATAATAGGCTGAAAGTGTCCACTCTCTTGATGTTACCATTGCTCTTAATGCATCTTTTTGAGCCAATATGCTCTGCAAAGCAATGAAGTTTGTGGCAAAGCGAGTTGGAGCTGGTCGAAGAATTTCTTTGCCTCCAATAAATTTTCTCATTAAATGCAACGGATGACAATGGTTATATACATACTTCGTAATTTTTGAAGCATGTGCCACGGCCTCACCCACTTCCTCTAACTTGCCAATGTCTTGTAACATCAAATTAATACAATGAGCAGCACAAGGAGACCAAAAGATCTTGGGAAACTCAGCCTCTAATAATCTTCCTGCAGCAACATAATTGGCAGCATTATCAGTCACAAATTGAACAACATTTTCAGGCCCAACAAATAGCACAACTTCTTCGAAAAGCTGAAATAATAAATCTGCAGTTTTAGAAGCATGAGAAGCATCCACAGACTTCAAAAAAATAGTTCCTTTAGGACAATAAACAAGAAAATTAATAAGAGTTCGCCTACACCGATCAGTCCAACCATCCGCCATAATAGTGCATCCGGTGTGCTGCCAAACATTGCGATAACTCTCAACAAGATTATGGACCTCATCAACCCAACTATCTAGCAAAGCACCACGTAATATGTGCATGGTTGGAGCTTTAAAACCTGCACCCATGTTACACACAACATCAAACATTTCCTGAAAGCAAGGATTGTTAGCTGCATTCAATGGGAGGCGGAAACAATCATCCACTTTGAAATAGAACGGTGAGCTTTCCAAATCACTTCTTTACTTTGTAAAGCGCTTTTTATGGTTGGTTGAGCTCCAGGAGTTGTTCTTGGAATAAAATAAGAACCCATGTTATTCTTCCCTTTTTCAGATTTGGAAGGTGGTTGATTATCAACATGTCTGATATCATCACAATAATCACCGCTTTCTTCTTCTTCAAGTTGAACTTTTCTTTTTTTCTTCTTACTTTCATCAACACTTTTTTTCATTTCATCACGCACCTCAGCTGGAACCTTTTTACATGGCTCAACTTGCCCTTTTTCTCCGGCCAAATGATTCTTCAACCGATTAATCCCTCCTCCTCTGATAACTTTATTGCAATGCTGACATATTATAACAGCTTTTCCATCTTCAATAACTTGTCTACAATGCCCCCAGCTTGGATCAGTTTTCCCCCTATAATTTGGTTTAGAGGAATTTTGAGATGATACTTCTTGGGATGGTGTTGAACCAGGTTCAGCATATGACATGTTTGTGAAAATAAATCTGCATGAAACATAAATCAAGTATATAAAGACATCAACAAATAATAAATATTTTGAAATATTTACTAGTTTTTATAAAGACATCAACTATGTATCTATTGCATCCACTCAGCAGATTCATCCATTGCCTCCCTGTTAGCAATATCAAACTGTCTTCTGCAAACAGTTGAGTGAACCAAACACATTCATCATAGAAGCTAGAATAAACTAACCCTATAAGGCTGCAAATATAATGGTAAAATACAAATTCAAGCATCCCAGCAGTCACAGAAGAACAATACTTCTTTTAGCAGTGTCAATTGAAACCATGAGAATTGTAGGGATTTTTTTTGCGCTATGCAGACATGGGAATTGAAAGATCTGAGCTATCCCCTGAATGATAGCCCTCAATTGGTTTGATAAAAAATCAGAGAAATATGACAAGTACATGCAATTTATGATATTTATTTGTGCTTCATATGATGGGTATAACTTTAAATTAAAATCAGCAAGGCTTTGCAGAAAATAAACCAAAAAATGAACAAAACAAGGGATCTTTTCATTGTTTTCAAAATAAAAAACAAATAGACTCACAAGAGTTCAACACAAGCAGAATGAACATAACCTCTAATTACTAAAAAACAATATTTTTTCCCCCATTAATGACGCTGAAACAGAAGAAAAATGAAAGATTATAAAGAAGGGGGACCTTAAGAGCTCAGTGTTATAAGAAGAAATATTGTAGTCAATAGCCCAAAGCCTAAAATAGACTGCAATACCCATTAACATTAGAAAAGCCATACACACTAAGATTGACCTTCTCTTCCCTCCCACCGTATACTCTAATCACCAAGTTCTAAAAAATAACCCCAAAATCATCCTCTTGACGAATAACAAAAATTGAAAATGCATACAATGACAGATACAATAACAAAAATTAAAATAAAATTACATGAACACATTAAGATTAAGAAGAAATGAGAACAAAAAATTCAGGTTGTAATGGGAGGAGGGCGTGTCTTCATAAACATAAATATTAAGTTTTCTGCAGATGATGTATAGATCCACATTATCAATAAAATTCAGCCACATAACAGAAATTAAGAGTTAGAAAGTTGCAGGAAGTAAGTTTAAGCCGAACGAAGAGGCACACACATAATAAAATTCAGCCACATTATCGTATCACACATAATAAAATTGATTACCTGCTTTTGGAGAACGAAGAGGCATTGCAAAGAAGTCAAGGACGAAGAGCAATGTCAATCTCAGCTGATACAAGGTGGGTCTCCTTTAGGTACTTGAAAGAAACTATCCGAACGGCGAAGGAAATCAAGGAATATGAGATATACGGGTGGGTCTCCTTTAGCCTTTAGGTTGAAACTTTTGAAACACAAAAAGCGACCTCGTTTTTGTAATATAACTCATGTTATTTTATTTTTAAAACATGTAACCGGTCCAAACCGGGTCTCCTTCAACTCGCCGAGTCACCGAGAACCGGCCGAGTCGACCGGTCCAAACTGGGTTAACTGCACGACCGGTCCAAAGAGCAGATCGAACCGGGGAACCCACCGGGTCACCGAGACCCGGGTCGACCCGGCCGGTCCGATCCGATTTTTAAAACACTGGTTGCAATTACCGGAGAAAAATCATGCACCGGAAAAAAAAAGAAGGAAAAAAGATGTCTCATTTTGACACTTTTTTCCAAAAATAAATAAAGGGAAATGATTTTCTTCTTTCACACGAGAGAAGATTTTACTCCTACACATACATCGACTTTCGTGTCAAGCTTTTGTTTTTGTTTTTACTTTTTTTTTTAAATTGCTGGTCTCACTTTTTTTATCTTAGTAGGAAACAATTCTTCTCTCCGGTTAAAGGATAAAAATATTCCCCATAAATAAATATGGAACTTAAAAACTATCAGTATTGGCAAAAGGAAAGAAATGGATTTTCTTAATCAAATTCAATATTGATGTTGAAATCACTTTATTTTATATTTAAATATAGAATTTGATCTTTGTCATTTTAAATGACATAAATTATGTTATTTTAAGAGAGAGATAGACACAAAAAAAATAAAAATCATGGGAGAGAGAAAATGAGTGATTTTTTTTAATTTAAAATTTAAATAAAAAATTTATTTTATGTCTGTCTCTCTCTTAAAATGACATAACTTTATGTTATTTAAAATGACAAATATTCTTCCTCTAAATATATGTTCAACATCAATAAAATTTAAATGCATTTGTGAAGTAGTTGTACTTGTAAAAAAAAATTAAAGTTTAAATTAAAAACAAAAAATTCTTATAAAGATTATTTTTCTTTAATATAAAAAGTATTTAGACATTCTTGATTCTTACACCTTACTTCCAATAAATTGCAGAAAGACAGGTTTTTCCTTCTTTTCTTTTTGTGCCGAGAAAAAACGGTGTAATTACAGTTTATAGACTTCGAAAGAGAAACACACGGTTACACACAGACGGCGAGAGAGAGATGAGGTTTATGAGATACATAGCACAATGGAAAAGCGCTGCGAAGGAAGCGTTGGATCGCACAGCTATCACAGCGAAGTTCCTATGCTGTCTTCACTTCACCAACAACTACCTCTGCTCCCTAACTCACGTATTCCATACAAAGATTCCAACTTTATTCTTCTTCTTCGTGCTTTTTTAATACCCTTTTGACTTAATTGCAGAATCCCCTGCTTGCAGGTCTATGGGCCTAGCATGCTCCCCACCCTCAATCTCGCCGGCGACGTCGTTATCGCCGAACATCTCTCTCCGCGGCTCGGGAACCTCGATCATGGAGACTTGGTTCTCGTTCGGTCCCCTTTGAACCCTAATCGGAGCTTGACGAAGCGCATTGTGGGCATGGAAGGGGACACTATCACTTACTTTGACCCTTTGCGCGCTGATTCTACTCAAACTCAAATTGCAGTGGTGTGTGTGCTTCATGGTTTGTTCTTCGTTTGCTCTTATTGCAAAATTAATGTGTTATTTTTTGTTTATGAATTTTTAGTATTTTGAAAACATACCTACTTGATAGCTTTTTCATGTTAGATCAGCAAATTTGAGAATTGAACTTATTGCGAAATTATGATAATTTTTTTTTCATGAATTTAGATGAATATTTGTAGTATATTAATATGTAATTGTGAAAAAGTACTCAGTTGATTGTTTTATCATGTTGGATAATAGTAATTAGATTTAGAAGCAGGTGTGAGAATTGCTTTGGTCATGACGTTGAAAGCCTTTGGTTAGTGCGTTTAATTTTATGTTTTATTATAAGATTACTTATATGTTCTGTCCCATTACATGAGTCTTTTAAGCTGCGTATTCAACTGATGTAGCAGAACGAAAATAATGCTTAGAGCGATTTCTTACTTCTTGCATATATATAGAATAGGTAGTACAGTTTCATATCAGGTTTCTTCATATCAGATCATCTGCAAAGTGCCGCATAGCAGCCCTGTATTTTATTTCAAATGAGTCTTGATGGTATGCTTTATCTGTTTTGCCCACTGTGTCATCGTGGTCATTCTTTGGTTACAGTTGTGGTTAAGGATGAGTTATTTGCTTATGATGACTGGTTTTGCTACTTGAAATTTCACTAAGCTTTTGGCTGAGATGATTATTCATTTTTTTTCTTAAATTTGTTATAATGTAATGTTTTTTTAAACGCAATACTTATTTACTCGTGTTTACTATGATCCATGTCATTTTGATCAGAATATCATTCCAATCCAACTCCCTGCTGAGTCTTGACACAAATTAATTGACTTTTTTTAAAATAGTTCATTATTAACTTATTACACAACTATCTTAGTTGTTTCCCATGCTTGGAATTTATGTTTTGCAGGTCGCTTTGCTTTCTCTCTGTTCATTATTTTATTATTATTATTTTTAAATTTCTGTTCATAAGTTTGATTTGTTGCTTAATTTGTTATATCTTTTTTCCACAGGTGCCAAAGGGGCATGTTTGGATTCAAGGGGATAACATATATGCTTCCCATGATTCACGGCATTTTGGTCCTGTTCCATATGGTCTTATACAAGGGAAAGTGTTTTTCCGGGTAATTGTTGTACCTAATACTATATTCTTCTATTTTTTAAGAATTATTTATTAGATTTATTCCTTTATTTTGAGTTCTTTAGGTCTTTACAATGCAATTTATTTCTCTCTAAGTTTCATGTGGTTTATTATTATTTTCCCTAAGAATATAAGAGTGAGATAGGGTTGTAATGATACAATTATATTAATACATTACTTCTAAGTTGTTTTTCTTTCTCGTACATGTACTTGGAAACATCTACTGATTCTATTGCAGCAAGTCTAATTGCATAAAGGAATTGCAGATATTTTGTTGCTGATCTAGAAATCATTCACTAAAATAATTTGATCTATCATTGTAGTGAACACATCATTTGCTGGATGCAAATAGGTCCTTCTAATTAATTAGTTGTGCCTTTTTTATGGTTTACTACTATTGTTTTAATTAATAGAAAAACAAAATTGCATGTTAGTTAAACACTTGTTGGCAAGTGCAAAATTGTTCTATTTGATGACTTTGAATTTTGTGTTAAAGATGTTTCAAATACTGTTTGTTATTAGGTTTGGCCTCTTGATAGCTTTGGACTGCTAGGTCAATGAAGGACCTTGTAATGAAGGTACTGTACTTTCAATTCTGTGTGTTTAAGATGCCTGATTTTGCCATTTGTTGAAAACACATTCCTTTCTGGAAATGGACTTTATAACCTAGACTACGGAAAATTAAGTCTTTCATATGAATTTCTGCTTAATTATTAGAGTTTTATGCCTATGAATGCGGGGGTCTTGTAATGTTTGAATTCTCTACCTCTCTTCTCATTTTGTAAGGCAGAGCATTTATTGCACGTAAATAGACTGTGAATCAGTGTGGGTTATAAAATTTGGTTTGACAAAACATCATCTTATTGTCAATTCCCCCTCCCCCCCATTTTTTGGGAAGATAAGGTTGACTTTACAAGCTTGATCCAGTTACGTACTAGCTGAGGAACTGGAATGTGGAAATATCTTTTGTTCAGGGAGGAATAAGATTTGTGAGTTGTTTTGGAGTTGGAAGGATTTATAGGACAGAGAATGAGTGGGTGACCTCAAAGAAATTGGAGGCAGGAAAGCAAATTTATTGCTATTAATATTTATTAAAAATTTTATGTTGTCGGAAATCAGTGAGTAAAAGATAGTTGTTGGCATACATCAAGAGAAATAAAATTTGGGAGCTGTAACAAGGGTTTAGCCCAGTGGCAATGTGGCCTCATCTTAGTGGGACTGCAGGGTTTTGATCCCTGTCTGGCGCTGCTTATCCCCCTGCCCAAGATATAGAGATAAGTAAAGAAAAGGTGATGAATAATCAAATATGTTAGTGCACAATTGCTTTTTTTTTTTTTTTTTTAAATAATAATAAGGTTGAGTCTGTAATTTCATGACATGGAAACTGATTATCTAATCTCAGTTGATTGTAATTCAGTGGAAATAGAGGCATAAATGAACTCTAACTTGTCTGAACAGAAGCTGTACTTTTATTGGATACCTCAATTTGCAAGATCTTGTTGTAAATGTGTGACAATCTAGCCACTTTTTATATCATAAAATTTCATGCCTGGTACAAAACAGTGTCTTATATAATCTGGGTTAACAAACTTAGCAACCCAAAAAACTTATATAGACCACCAAGTTGATGCTTTCTTATTTACAGTACATGAACAAAGAATTTCAACATCCTACAATGATAGCATACTATTGGCACCAATTTCTTGTCCAAGTTGTAACATCCCCGTCTTGAGCTGGTTCAATTAACATGCATATGATACAAACAGAAACAACAGAAGACTTAACTTACGAAAATACGAGCTAACTTTTTTTTTTTCTAGTTTAATTCGTATTCGACGGAGACAAAAATCGGGCAGAGTAACCTCTATAAATCGGACAACTGGGGATTTTCCAATCTCACTCTCAAGAGTTCCTGATAGACAGTTTACACAGCATCTAAATTCAGAAGTACCAGAAATCTAAATATAATCATATACCCATCCATGGGCGCATGCATAACTTGGCTCCGTGCCACTATATCTAACACCATGCAATTCAACATATAAACATAACTGAATACTACATCGTCATATCAACATGCATGAATACACAAATGTACATGCATCATACTGAAAGACATGTACAAAACATATACAGGCCATATACAAAATAAAGGATCAGACATCATGATCCACAAGATGCTAAAATACTGAATAACATAAATACACTCCAAAATAGTAGTAGCCTACAGCTACTCAAAATCTGGTCCGTCCAAACGCCTCAGCCACGGGTCGCGTCCCTGCCTAGTGTGGGCTCACCGGGAATCTGAGAACCTGAAATGATGTCCCCAGAGAGGGGTGAGATAACAATCTCAATAAGCTCCAGGTTTATAGAGAATTCTCCATACCCATGGCTCACTCCTGCATGAAAGTCAGATACAGAGTATACCAATGCAACATATAACAGATATCATAATAGAACAAAACAGATATACATATCTCATCAGAGGCGTGCGCCGTCATTCCAATGGAGGACCCCAAGCATAATTTAACGCACGTGTTCCCAAGGGAGGACCCCAAGCGGAACCAGAACATGTCAAAGGCGTACATCGTCAATCTCAGGGAAATCCCAAGAAGATATCCGTGTACCATACAATCAATACAGAAATCATATCATAACAAGTCATATCATGTTATCAAATAGCTCTATATGAATGCATTTATACAAAGCATCAAAACAGTCATACAATCCAACCATAGTTCACTAACTATGGTGGAGCACTCAAGCAGGAAAAGACTCCTTAAACATAGAGCTTACCTCTTGAAGCTTTACCAATCCGCTTACTTGTGGTACAAGTTATTTATAAAGCTTCAATAAGATTCCAATTCTTTTCAGTCCCTAGGCACACCTAGAGAAGAATCCACAACAAAATCAATAAAATGATCCTATGCCATGATCCTTACATAAGGCATACATTTTATCGCTTATTTTCGTTTCTTTACGTTTTTTCCAATCCTACGCCAATACACAAGTCAAGACCATTTTATAATCGTTAGCGTTCCCTAAATTAACTAAGTATCCATATGAGAATTTTTAACATAATTCATGCCATTTTTCTTCCTAACGCCGGGGGTACACATAAAGGGCACTAAGATTTCTTTCAACAATTTATAAGTCTTTTCAATTCTTTAACTCATCAATTTCATACATTGGAAAACTACACATTTTATTAAAATAAAATGTAACAAAATCTACACTTAATCCACCTTCTAGGCCGGAATCCAAGGGGAGAAACCAAGGTTTTCTCTTCTTTTTCATTTCATTTTCTTCACTTATTTTTAACAACTTACCCATACATATATATATATCCACTAAGTTCCAATTAAATTTTGGAATGACAAGTTCCTCCAAAGCTTCACAAGGCCGAAACATAAGGGCATATTTCATAGGATTTTTCCTCACTTTTGCATTCTTAATAACTCATCAAATTTCCACTTATTCCAACACATTAAACCTTCCAAATACATGAATTAAAATTTTTCACATCATTCCCTCATTACACTCTCATGGCCGAAACATAGTGGAAGGGAGACATGGGATTTTTTTCAATTTTTTTAAACATGTTAATGTCAACTACTACATTACAAATCATTACCAACACTAACACATCACAACTTTCTAATTTCACTTACAAGATTCCCACCAAAAACACATTTCAAAATCCCAAAACTTAAATAACAAAAATTAAACCATAGAAGTAGAGTTTTGTTACCTTTAATCACCTATCCAAAGCCTAGAGGACATTCACCAATAAAAGCTCCATCTAAAGCTCCATTTTTCACCCTTGATGAATAGTAAACCGAAAAGGGGAAAGGGAAGAGCTCCTCACACAAGCAATTATAGCTCAAATTGATTGGTGGAATGGATTCATTCGGTGGTTTACAATCAATTTCATGTAATAGACTTTTGGATTTGGAGGATTGATGATGGAGAAATCAAACAAAAAGTTTCAAACCCTAACCCCCCCCCCCTTTCTTGATGAGCAACTCGGGTAGGAAGAGAGAGAAGAGAGAATTTTTTGAGTGAATAGTGATCCACTTAAGTGACTAGGATATATAGGCACATGTGGCCTTTTACCGGATGTTTTTCTTTCGCGTATTTTCACTTAAACTGACCCGGAACTAACTTAAAGCTACGGACATATTTTTATTTTTCTGAGGAACAATATTCATAATTCACAATGTGATTCCTGCACCGTTTTTGACGAAATGCACTGTGAATCACTAACTGTAAATCGTTTGCTTACGAATGTTAAAACTTATAAACTTATCATTCGTGGGCCTATTTTGACTTGTATGACATATATTGGACTTTCTTACTCTTATTTCATCAATTATTTGTTTCTGGACTCTACCAGTTCCTTAAACAGCAGTGCAAAATACCCGGTAGAAAAAACTATTAACGAGATTTTCACGGAAGATGTCAGACTATACAAGAATGCAGATCATCCGGCAGAACACACTGTTCATAACCTAGTCATGATTACAGTCAAAATACTCGAAATCACAATCTGAATCTAATTATGGCATTTAAATCTTTAAATTAAATCTCTAATTAAGATTTACCAGTTAGGGTCATTATACAAGTGTTAATTATTGTCTTCTTAGGCTATTTGAATGGAACCAGCTGTTCACATATGTAATGATTTCCTTGCATGAATAGGGAATACAATAATTCCCTGTGTTTTTATCATTTTGTATATTACGGGTTAAAAGTTGGGGTTTTACTATTCTTCTGTCAAAGAAGATAGCATGCTTTTTCTGCGGACTGAAAATTGATGTGGGGTCCATTTAATTTTTTTTTTCTTTCTTGTTTTGGTGGGTCCCATTGCTGGTTTGTGAGTGTAGTTGGAGAGAAAAAATTTCCTATAAAAGGAGATTAATAAACCCCTAAAAGTTGACATCTTTCAAGTGCCAATTTATTGAACAGTGCTTATGGTGAGTCATCGTGTAAAATGCATGAAATTATACTTGGATGGAGCTTCAGTTATTTCCATGAAGATGGCTGGTTGCAAGGAAACACCTGAAGGAGCATGTTCACTTTTGGCATTTTTAACTCCCAGTGTGTAGTATGTATTGCTCCTCAAACTTCGTAAAAAATAGAGTTATATGCACAATTGGTCAGGAATCATGCATTTTACTCATTTTTTTTAGTAAGAAAAAATTTATATGCAGGGTAGACGTAAGTGGAATTTGAGCATAATTACTACGTCAAAAACTAATATAGGGTTATAGGAAATATATACATTTTGGTAGACTCATTTCAATACAATTTCTTTTTGTTGTGACTGTGTGACGTGAATTTTTAAAAAAAATTCTTACTAGGTTAATATTTGTGAGTTTTTTTTTTGTTTTAATTTAAATATTTGTGATTTGAATATTGTGGGATGCAGTCTTGCTTGTACTGCTCTTAGAGGAAAGTTGAATGCTTTGACCAATCTTATAAGTCAAGTGCTATTTTTCTCTAAGTCCATTATTTACATTTTTCACGGTGACTATAGTCTATGAAGCACTGACACTTTAAAAATTCTGACGTGACGTATCCGACACTTTTCGACACTCTTCGACATTCCAACACTTCCCGACACTCTAACACTCGTTATAGAAATTTAAAAAAAGTTTAAAGGTTGCGTTGCGTTGAGTTTTTAGTTTCAACTATTAGATTCATTGGATTACGATTATTATTTTATTGAGTTTAATATAAATATTTGGGATATCTTATGTTTCTTTGCAAAATTTATGAATATTATAAGTTTAGTTTCATTTTTTTGTTAAATTATTGAATATTAAATATAATATACACTATGTAAATTAAAAATATTATTTAATATCAAAACGTGTCGAAATCTAACATTTTTTAGAATAACGTGTCGGAGTGTCGTGTCGTATTGTGTCACGTGTCCCGTGTCGGTATCGGTGCTACATAGACTATAGTATCATCAGAATCGTTTGGAGTCTACAAAATCGGGGAGCATGTTTGAATTCTGTTTTCAAAAGCAGTTTTTGGATTTTTAAAGTAAAAATATAAAAAAAAATTGTTTGATAAGGCTGATTTTGTAAAAATAGTTTTAAATTTTTTGATTGTTTTTAGTTTTGGTTGTTTTTGTTTTTTGTTTTGATTTTTAACTTCTAAAATAAAAAAATACAAAAAATATCTATTTAGTTAACTATTCTATAAAACAGTTTTAAGAAAAAAAAAAAAAAAAACAGAATATAATCAAACAAGAGCACTATGATTTGGCGCACTAAGTGGCTTACGTTGTCAAAAAGCCCCGTAAAGTAAATTTTAAGCCACTCGTATACTTTGTTTCATGTCTCACTGATTGAGCCCTATGACA